CCAAGACGGTCCCCCCTGCAGGGGAGGCAGGGTCAAGGTGGGTGTACTGAATAAGTGCCTCAGTCAGCCGGTTAAGAAAAACAGCAGGATTTTCATCTGCACCTTGGACTACCTCCTTTAATTTGTTAAAGTTGACTGATTTGTTGGAGGCTACCTGCATGCCAGCAAGAAGGCACTGAACCATCATGTCTTGGTGACGGCAGCCTGCCTGCCCTACCTGGTAGTCCCAGTCAGGCTCAGCCGAGGGCACTGCCTTGGTGCTGACTGGCATGGCAGGGTTAGTTAAATGAACCTGGTTAGCATGCTGCCTGGCTGCCGCTAGCATGCGTTCCTGCTCCTCAGGAGACAGGGTTGAGGTCATAACGACATGAAGGTTGTGCCAGGTAAGATCATATGCCTGGCATAGATATCTAAACTCTTTGATATGGCGAGTAGGACTGGCCGAAAAGGAGCCTGCACGCTCCTCAACCTTAGACAAGTCTGCCAATGAAGACAGCACATGGACCCGGACTACTCCTTCGGCACCTGCCACCTCTCGTAAGGGACACAGGAGGTCGGTCCTGGACCGAGTATGGGCTGAGACAGGCGAGGAAGGGGAGGAGGTGGAGGTAGGGGAGACAGAATCTGTTGGGTTGGTAAGAGCACAGGAGAGGGGGAGGGGTGGGGATAACGGTGGGTCAGGGTAAGGAGGATGTTGGGCGGGAGATCGGAGGGGTGGGCGGGAGACCGGAGGGGTGGCCAGGATTGGGTGTCAGGAGGCTCAGAAAAAGAGGAGGAATCATCCCTCTCCTTGTTCGAGGGAAGAGACTTTGCGAGTAGGACCTGAGCTAACAAGCATTGAGCGCAGAGATCTGGGCGAGAACGCAAGTCCCAAAAGGCCTGAACATAGGGTATCTTGGACCATTTGCCTAGTCTCTTGCAGAAGTTGGTCAGATCTGTGAGAATGTTAAAGTCTAGAGTGCCTTCTGTAGGCCACTGAGACTGATTATCCAATTTATATTGCAGCCATGCTATTGTGCAGAAGAAAATGAGCCGCTTTTATGTCTTGGCTGAGACTTAAAGTCTGGAGATTTGCCAAGAGGCACCCCAGAGGAGATTTTTGGTTTGGTTTGGACTAGGTAGTTCCCATGGTCTCAAGGCGGGCAGTTCGGGGGCAATGGGAGCATCCTCCCACTGCCATGTGGAGTGCGGGGTATGGTGGCTCCTAGGCAGGTTGGACGTCTCCTAGTCCCTGGTGCCAAGGTCACAGCTGACTGGAGAGAGCCCCTGACATGGCCACGCATTTCAGACAGGGACTCCCAGAGGGAGCCTTCAGGACGGGGGGAAACTTACCCAGCAGTGATCGAATTGAGTCTTGGATTTGGTGAAACAGCTCCCGGCTCGGAAAGGAGGTCCTGGCTCGGGGAGAGGAGAGCCTGCCCGACCCGGCAGGCATCCGGGGAGGGGGTCTCTTCCTGGGTTTCGGCACCAAATGTAAAGGTAAACTGAGGCTGGAGCCAAACCGGGAACTAAGACACAAGGCAAATGGCAGTAAGAATAGCCTTTATTAGGACTCATGGGAGAGGTTCCTCGGTCCAAAGGTGCGGGCCAAGGAAGTCGCGCTGAGGGAGGAGGGTAGGGGCTTCTTATGGCCTGAGAGGTAGGGAAGCTGGTTGTGCAAACAGGGCCTGGGGGGTCTTGAAACTACTAGGGCAGGAGTTGAGTAAGGGTCACGAGGAAGGGGTCTTTGGAAACTGTTAACCGAAACTGCTGTTTACAAACTTGTGGAATGCAGGTGAGCTGCAGGTCATGGGGGAGTGTGGCTGCCCAGCTGGAACCTCTGATGTATGCAAGTCTGCGGGTGTGTACAAGGGTGAAGGGAGTCTTTAACAAAAGGCCTGCTACACCGGGTAACGCTGCCATGTTGGGTCTAGATTCCTGCCTAACACTTACTATTTCTGTTATCATTATACTCAGGTCAACTCTCTGATAATAGTATGGGTTTTGTGGTCTGAAAGCATCAGTAGGGAGCCAGAAGAATTCTGATCTGCTTCTATTGGTTTTATAGTTCAATTACCCTCTTGCACTACACAGTATGCTTCACCCACATTGAGTTTGCATTTCTTAAATGATGGCCATTTGTTTCATGTTTTTCAGTGGCCCATGTTCAGACTCCCAACCCACAGATGCTGTGAGATAAGAAATGTTTATTGTTTTAGGCTGCTAAACTTGTGGTGTTTGTGTGCTATGTAGCAATAGAAAATTAACATGCTCTGTGATACATACTTTGCAGATATTATCTCAACTGATTTTCACAACAGCCCTAAGGAGTTGATGATATTATTATCCCAATGTTTATAAATGAGGATTCTGAGGTTCAGAGAAGTTGAAAAAGCTGTCCAGAGTCACATAGCAGGTAATAGATAGGGATTTAAAGACAGGCCTCCAACTCTAGTCCCCATAGTCTTTACCTGCCTTTGATAAGATTTCCAGATTCTTAGTTTTGAAAACACAGTACCAACCTTCAAAAATTTAATATTAAGTTTATAGTTTTACCCACAATGGATAAAAGGATCTGTTTCTCAGCATTCTTGCCAATATTGATTTATTTGTTTTAAAAATGATAAATTTACAGTTCCTAAAGTTCGCCTTTCTTTGGGCATGCCTTCATATTTTTGTTTTCTAACTATAGTTCCTCTTTCATGTATGGTTCATTTATGAACAGCACATTCTTGGGATTTCATAGTAAGAGAGGGTAGCTCATGAGGAAAGCATCTCTAATTTTCATCTCTTCAAGTGAGAACGCAAATTTTAGATTAATAAACTCTGAGCGAAATGACCATACAGAGACCTGATGTAGAATGGCATTTCAGTGAAATGAAGTGGCAAGCCTAAAGTGCCTGTCTACTTTTGGGCTGTATTTCAGTAATATAGCTATCAAAGCTACCATGGCTTCCAAAATACCTGGGAAAAAGTCATTCCTATCTCAGGGAGAGAAATAGCCATACCTCTATGAGCTCTAGATATCCACACAAAGTCATTTATTAATGTGTATTTTCTGTGCTTTTAGGTGAACTCTAGAGCACTATAATTAATTTTTCCCCATTATGCCTTTCTGAAAAACTTCATCCTACAAATTGTGTTTCACCCAGTAACAATCGGATTATGCAAATAAAATAATTTGGTAGTAATTAAGTTCAGAAGGCAACACTTTTTGGATGGATTTAAGTTTGTCCCTCAAGACAACCCTACAAAGTTATGAGGTTTTTTGCAAATTTATCCAAGGAGGAAATACAAAATATCTGATTTTTGTGATGTTTTCCATGGCATTATTATTAGGAGCAGGTGCTTTTTCTTTCTGCATGAGGATGAAGACTCATTTCAGTTAATAAAACCACAAATTTCAGACACTTCTCAGTGAGAATGGAAATAGTTCAATTATGAAGACACTCATTTTTGTGGTACTGTGATTGCTGCTGAGTTTAATAAGAAAAACAATCACGACTGTAACACCCATATTTTCTAAACCCTTTAAAATAAGGCATTAAATCAATCACTAGTCAATTAATATAATCATGATGTTTTAAAAATCAGAAATCTAGGATATGTAGTGATATTATAAATATATTTGTGAAAACGAACATTACCTCCATCAGCCAGCAGAATGTTTTATGATTGAGCTACCTTTGTAGCTCCCTAGTTCCTTCTATAGATTGGCTCATGATGATGAAGATGAAGCTGCTGCTGATTGATTGATTGATGATAGTTTTGCCTTAATAAGGACTTATCATGTGCCAGGAATATCATTTCATTTAATCTCCACCACAGCCATAATAATAAGGGCTGTTATTCTTATTTTACAGATGAGAAAATCAATGCTCAGAGAGATTAATTTGTTCAAGGTCACATGGTTGGTGAGTGGCAGAAATAGGATTCACACTCAGTATGCTTGACTCAGAAGACCACTAACTTTGCTAGACTAAGTCATGCCAGCTCCACAAGCTTGGATTAGTGTTTGAGAGCTGAATCTTTTGTCTTTGTTCTGGTGGATACAGCCAAGACAGGATCACTGGCAAAGGTCTTTTAATTCTTCTCTGCCTTGTCAAGATCACCTTTTAGGCATTTCTCTGATATCTGATGATACAGAAGTATCTGTATCTGTATTAGGCTGTTGAAGCTCTGTAATTTCACTAAAATGCTTATTTATTAAAGATAAAGATTATTTATTGAAGATACTTGTTTTTATTCCAAGTATATTTGTATTATTAGAAACTGCAAGTGGCATTCCATGACTCAAATGTTCCTTTTATTTGAAAAGATGATAAATCTAGCGTTTATCCTAGAACTTCACACCTTTCAACAATTAGAAATATGGTCACTTTTGCATGGAGTTAATGGGTTGTGCAGAATGTACTTGCCCCAGAAACGTGGTAATTCTCTCTGCAGCAAGGCTTGCCATGGGAACTGTCCATGGTGGTTCCTGGCAGAACTAACAAGTTGTATGAGGAGCTTCCAGTGTGGGACAAGGTATTGAATTTCTAGGTAGGTCTTCCCTCCCCCTCAATTTTCAATTTTTTTTCTCTCTCTCTCTGGACAAGGTATTGAATTTCTAAGGTAGGTCTGCCCTCCTCCTCAATTCTCAAACTCTCTCTCTCTCTCTCCTCCCAACCACCCCCCACACACAACACATGCTCTTCTTCCATTCCTTCATTCACATATTTGTGAATAAGAGATATTAGGAAAAAGTATAGGTATCTAGCTCACTTATGCCCTTATAGTTTAAATTTTGAGATTCTAATTTTCTGATGACTATAAATTGCTATATGTTTATCACATGATAAAACAATGAAAGAATACCCTTTTATAGGAAAGATCACAGGATATCTATCACACATAAAAATATTTGATGTCTTTAGATTGAATGCCTTTTATTGTTAATCTTTAAATCCAGCCATATAGAAAGGCAAAAAGTACTGTAGTTACAGGCCTACTTTAGTTGAATTTCTGAGTATAAGGACCACTTTTTTTTTTTTTTTTTTTCTGTCAAGCTGTTCTTTATTTCAGGGAGAAGCCAGGGGAGGGGGGCTCAGTCTTTCTTGGCAGCAGCTTTCCTCATAGCGGCCAATACGTTGCTCAGCTCCTCCCGCTTCCTCTTGGCGCGGATGTGCGTCCCCACCCTTTTCTTGATAAACTTGAGGGCCCGTTTGTCCTTGGAGACCTTCAGTAACTCCATGGCACGCCGCTCGTACGGGGCAAAGCCACACACCTCCCGAATCATGTCCCGCACGAACTTGGTGTGTTTCGTCAGACGCCCGCGGCGGCGGCTGTGCCTGGGCTTGCTCACGTTCTTGGTCACCTTGTGGCCCTTGTTGAGGCCCACGGCCATAGGGTAGCGTAGAGCCATGGCTGCTGCTCTCCAGTGGCGGCCCTGGCGGAAGGCAAGGACCACTTTTAAAGGTGTAAAATAAAACAACCCACTGTGGTCAACTATATTATGGTTCACCCATGATTTTGGTGCTTCTCTTTGTGGTGTCCGTATCTATGGGAAGATTATACATTCCTACCCTGTTGAACCTGGAAAGGCCATGTGACTTGCTTTGACCAATCAAATATGGGAAACATTCCACAGATGTGTTTATTCTAAAAAAAAACAAAACAAAGGTGGGCCACTTCTGAGCAGAAGGTGTTAACAGCCAGCATATATGGTTCACAATGCCACAATGACTGGTAATGTTTCTGACTGAGGTGGCTCTATTAGCCTGAGTCCCAAAGTGAAAATTAATCAAATCAGAGCAGCAGCTGACTCTCACTGGATGGTATGGTTTGAATATATGTCACTGCCAAATCCCATGTTGAACTTAAATCCTCAATGTTGGTGGTGGGGCTTGGTGGGAGATGTTTGGATCATGGGGGCAGATTCCTCATGGCTTAGTGCCTTGGGATAGTGAGTGAGTTCTTAGGAGGTCTTGATTTTTAGAAGTGTGTGGGACTGCCTCCACCCCTTGTTCCTGCTCTGCCATGTGAGACAGTATATGCTCTTGTTTCGCCTTCCACCATGAGTGAAAGCTCCCTGAGGCCTCCCCAGAAGCCAAGCGGATGGTGGTACCATGCTTGTACAGCCTGTATAACCACAAGCCAGTTAAACTTCTTTTCTTTTTAAATTACCCAGTCTTGAGTACTTCTTTACAGCAATGTGAGAACAGCCTAACATAGAAATTAGTATGGAGGAGTAGGGCATTGCTATAAAGATACCTGAAAATATGGAAGCAGCCTTGGAACTGGGTAATGGGCAGAAGTTGGAAGAGTTGGGAGGGCTCAGAAGAAGAGAGAAATATGAGGGAAAGTTTGGAACTTCTTAGATACTGGTTAAATGATTGTAACCAAAATGTTGATAGTAATGTGAATAGTGAAGGCCAGGCTGAAGAGGTCTCAGATGGAAATGAGGAACATATTGGGAATTGTAGCAAAAGTCACCCTTATTATGCCTTAGCAAGGAACTTGGATGTGTTGTGTCCATGCCCTAGGAAGTCTGTGGAAGTCTGAACTAAATAGTAATGATTTAGGGAATCTAGTGGAAGAAATTGCTAAGCAGCAAAGTGTTCAAGAGGTGGCCTGCTGTTTCTAATAACCCACACTCAGAGGCAGGATCAAATAAATGACTTAAAGTTGGAATTTATATTTAAAAGGAAAGAAGAGCATAAAAGTTTGGAGAATTTGCAGCTTGGCCATGTGCCAGAGACAGAAAAAGCTTTTTGGACAGAGGAATTCAAGCAAGCTGTAGAGCAACCACTTATGAGAGATATTTGCATGACTGAAAAAGAGCCAGGTGCTGATAGCCAAGACAATGGGAAAAAATCCTCAAAGGCATTTCAGAGACCTTCAAGGTAGCCCCTCCCATCACAGGCACAGAGGCCTAGGAGGGAAGAATGGTTTTATGGGCCAGCCCCAGGGCCCTGCTGTCCCTGGGCAGCTGTGGGACACTGCTCCCTGCATCCTGGCTGCTGTGGCTCCAGCCATGGCTCAAAAGGCCCCAGGTACCACATGAGCTGCCACCCCAGAGGGCACAAGCCTTGGTGGCTTCCATATGGTGTTAAGCCTGTAGGCACACAGAGTGAAAGGATGAAGTAGCCTTGGAATCCTCTGTCTATATTTCAGAGGATGTATGAGAAAGCCTAGGTGTCTCGTGCAGAGGCAGAGCCCTCACAAAGAACCTTTACTAGGGCAGTGTGGAGGGGAAAAATGGCATTGTAGGGTCCACACAAAGTGCCCACTGGGCCACTGCCTAGTGGAGCTATGGGAAGGGGCCCACTGTCCTCCAGATCCCAGAAAGTAGATACACCTGCAGCTTGCACTCTGCACCTGGAAAAGCTGCAGGCACTTGACAGCCTATGAGAGAAGCCATGGGGGAATGTACCCTACAAAGCTGAAGGGGCAGAGCTGCCCAAAGATTCCTTGCAGCAGTGTGTCCTGGATCTGGCACATGGAGACAAAAGAAATTATTTTGGAGCTTTAGGATTTAATGACTGCCCTACTGGATTTTGAACTTGCCTGGGGCCCGCAGCCTCTTTGTTTTGGCTGGTTTCTCTGTTTGGGAACAGGAATGCTTACCAAATGCCTGTACTCCCACTGTATCTTGGAAGTAACTAACTTGTTTTGATTTTACATGCTTATAGGTGAAAGGGGCTCATTTCCAGATGAGACTGTGAACTTGGGTCTTTTCATTGAGTCGAGGCTGGAATGAATTAAGACTCTGGGGAACTGTTGGTAAGGCATGATTATATTTTGCAATGTGAGAAGCGCATGAGATTTGGAGGGTCATGGGAGGAATGATATGGTTTGAATATATGTCCGCACCAAATCTCATGTTGAACTGTAATCCTCAGTGTTGGAGGTAGGGCCTGGTGGGAGGTGTTTGGGTAATGGAGGTGGATCCCTCATGGCTTTGTACTGTCCTTGTGATAATGCTTGAGTTCTCAGGGGACCTCGTTTTTTTAAAAGTATGTGGCACCTCCCTCCGCCACTCTCTCTGGCTCTTCCTCTGCCATAAGATGCCCGCTCCTGCTTCTACCATGAGTAAAAGCTCCCTGAGCCTCCCCAGAAGCTGAGCAGATGCCAGTGCCATGTTTGTACAGCCTGCAGAGCCAGGAGCCGATTAAGCCTCTTTTCTTTATAAAGTACCCAGTCTCTGGTATTTCTTTAGAGCAATGGAAGAACGGCCTAACACACTGGATAAGTAGAATGAGGGAGAAACAAACCTTGTCGTTCTAAGCCACCGGGTAGGTAGAGCCATGTTTTGCTGCATCCTGGCTTATCCTGACTGATACACTCATCCACTCCTGTTTGCCATCACAAATCCCCCAGGGAAAAAGGCAGCCATATAATAAATTTCTAATGGGAATACATAATAGACTTTGAATTTAACATAATAAAAACCCACATGTATTACAAAACTCTCAACCTTCTTTTCTCTCATGCTGGCTAGAACCAATCCCTTTTTCCCATCCTAGAACATTCCAGATAGCACTTCAGACCAGTTTCTTGGCTGTCTGGAAGACACTTTTGGGTGCCTAACATGCCAGGGAAGAGCTGGTGGAGGTAGCTGTGAGAATTCCCGTCGCTATATACAGTATTTCCCTTTAAAAACAACGAAGTTGCCTAAAATCAAAAGGAAAGTCTAATTGTACCCAGTACTAATCTAAAATTAAAGTAATTCCTTGTTTTCTTTTACATTGTATTTACTTTGTTTCATGATTTTTGCCCATCCTATAAGTCCATATGTCCCTTTCTCAGATCTTTTTAAACCTGATACTCCATTTTTCTTTCTAAGCTTCTGATCAACTTGTCAAGCCATTGCCACTCTGCATGAACCTGCATATATTCTTAATGCAGGGCACTTCTTTTTCCATATAAAGTGAGTAGCTAGGTGCACTCCCTAGAACTATGCCCATTAGGAGGACCTCCCTGTCTTCCAGAGCCATAACGACGTGGTGGTGTAAGTCAGCAGCAGACTTACCTGATTATGCCAAGCCAACCCATCCACGAAACAGGACTAGTCTACTTTCATCCTCGTTCAAAAGCTTGCCCACTTCCATGTAGCCCTAGGTATGAGCAGGGGCCCAGAAGCAGAGGGGTTCTGGGCCTTCCCCATGTGCTGCTTACTTATGCCCTCTGGCCCTGCTTGTGACTGATCCTGGACGCACCACTTCCATCTTATGAAGGATTGCTCACCTTTGACAGAACCTACCTGCTGATGGGCAGCTCTGACTGCATGGTCACTTAATGGTCCACGCTCTATTTTTATTAAAATGAGATAATCTTTCTCCACTGAGGCTCAGTAGTGTACTAATAGCTGCTTTTGGGTCATGCATAGTGCATGGTTCTCTGCTGCAGATGGTATGCCCCTGCTCAAAAACATTAGGGGTCTACAATGCAATGCTCCTACTGTAGCATGTGATGAAACACCTCACAGCATCTTTTCTTACCACAGATACTTCAGGTACCATAGGGACTACTGAGTTGCATGGTTCAAGAAGCAGGGCTACTTGCCCCTCAGCCTGAATCTACTTCAGAGCCTTTTCTTGCCCAGGGCCCCACGTAAAGCTGGCAGCCTCTGAGCTACCCAATAGATGGGATGGAACAATACTCCAAATGTGCTGTACCAGAACCCCAAAACATCTACCAGATGTGCTTCTTTCTTAATGATGGAAAGTGTGAGATGCAAACATTTGTATTTTATTTTGGAGAGGATGTCCCAGCATGCCCTGGATCCATCTAGAATCTTCACTTATATGGTGGTCCCCTGCATCTTTGTAGAATTTACCTCTCACCCCTGGAGTCTATGTGTCTTCCCATGCTCCAACATATTTCCTACTCCTGGATGATCAGTTCTGATTAATCTGACATCACTGATGTTGTGGACCAAACCAATGTTCTTCAGAGTGTCAGGCCGTCCAGGTGCCCTCAGACTGTATTATGCCAGAACGTAATAGAGTTAACATAGCCCTGGAGCCAGACCATAACCATGTAGGGTTTTCTGTCCTATGTGATTGTGAACTACTTATCCCTCTTCCTGGTAGGAATGAACAAGAACACAGATACCAGGTCAGTGGCCACATGCAATGTGCTGGAGGCCATGGTTCATCTGCTGTAGTAGAGATATCATGTCGGGCACAGCCGCTGCAATTGGGGTTACTACTTGGTTGAGTTTGCCATAGTCTATTCTTATCCACCATGCCCCATCTTGTTTTAGTAGAGGCCACGTGGCGAATTAAAGGAGGATATAGAAGGACCACTAACCCTAAATTCATTAAAAGCTTTTGAAGGTGGCACTAATCTGTGTCATTTCCCCGAGAAGTAGCCCTATTTTTTATATACTCTCTTAGTCAGGAGTTTGGGGCAGTTTCAGATACTTCTACTTGACCTTCTTCCCTAGAATATCTTAC